GAGAGAACTAAATAACTTGAATGTGGTGTTTCGTCAATATGCAACTCGTTGCATATTGAGCTCCACTTAACTTGTAGTGTTCTTTGTTGCACTTTGCCATGCCATGCATATTTAAACCGGACATGCACCATACTTGGTTATGCATCATGCCTTGTTTATGTGATGGTTGTTTACTATGTTGTTTGCTTCTTTCCGGTGTTGCTTCTTCGGGTTAGTTTCGATAACGTCATGTTTGTGAGGATTCGTTCGACTTCGTCCGTTTGTCTTCTTCATGGACTCGTTCTTCTTCCTTGTGGGATTTCAGACAAGATGACCATACCCTCGAAATCACTTCTATCTTTGCTTGCTAGTTGCTAGCTCTATTGCTATGTCGCGATACCTACCACCTGCTTTATCATGCCTCCCATATTGCCATGTCAAGCCTCTAACCCACCCTTCCTAGCAAGCCGTTGTTTGGCTATGTTACCGCTTTTGCTCATCCCCTCTTATAGCGTTGCTAGTTGCAGGTGAAGATGAAGTTTGTCCATGTTTGGAACATGGATATGTTGGGATATCATTATTATATATTATTTACTTTAATGCATCTATATACTTGGTAAAGGATGAAAGGCTCGGCCTTATGCCTGGTGTTTTGTTCCACTCTTGCCGCCCTAGTTTCCGTCATACCGGTGTTATGTTCCTTGATTTTGTGTTCCTTACACGGTTGGGTGTTATGGGGACCCCTTGACAGTTCGCTTTGAATAAAACTCCTCTAGCAAGGACCAACCTTGGTTTTACCATTTGCCTCACCACCACCTATACTTTTTCCCTTGGGAGTCGCGCTCCCAAGGGTCATTTTTATTTTAACCCCCCCGGGCCAGTGCTTGTCCAAGCATTGGTCCGAACCGGGCAACCTGCGGGGCCACCTTGGGGCAACTTGAGCGCTGGTTTTACTCGTAGCTTGACCTATCTGGTGTGTCCTGAGAACGAGATACGTGCGACTCCTATCGGGATGTCGACACATCGGGCGGCTTTGCTGGTCTTGTTTTATCATTGTCGAAATGTCTTGTAACCGGGACTCCGAGTTTGATAGGGTCTTCCTGGGAGAAGGAATATCCTTCGTTGACCGTGAGAGCTTGTGATGGGCTAAGTTGGGACACCCCTGCAGGGTTTTGAACTTTCGAAAGCCGTGCCCGCGGTTATGGGCAGATGGGAATTTGTTAATGTCCGGTTGTAAAAAACTTGACACTTAACTTAATTAAAATGCATCAACCGCGTGTGTAGCCGTGATGGTCTCTTTCCGACGGAGTCCGGGAAGTGAACACGGTCTTGTGTTATGCTTGAACGTAAGTAGTTTCATGATCACTTCTTGATCACTTCTAGCTTTTCGACCGCTCCGTTGCTTCTCTTCTCGCTCTTATTTGCGTATGTTAGCCACCATATATGCTTAGTGCTTGCTGCAACTCCACCTCACTACCCTTTCATACCCATAAGCTTAAATAGTCTTGATCTCGCGGGTGTGAGATTGCTGAGTCCTCGTGGCTCACAGATACTTCCAAACAGTTGTAGGTGCCTATGATACAGGTGAAGATGACGCAACCCAGCTCAAGTGGGAGCTTGATGAAGCTCATGTTCGTTGTGTTGTTTCATTTCCAGTTGATCAGTAGTGGAGCCCAGTTGGGACGATCGGGGATCTAGCATTTGGGGCTGTCTTCTTTTATTTTGGTTCCGTAGTCAGACCTTGATTGTATTCTGGATGATGTATGTTTAACTTGTATTTGTGTGAAGTGGCAATTGTAAGCCAACTCTTTATCCCTTTCTTATTCAGTACATGAGATTATGTGAATATTACCCCTCTTGCGACAAACTTATCATGCGGCTATGCCTCTAAGTTGTGCCCTGACACGTGGGAGATATAGCCGCATTGTGGGTGTTACACTAACCTTCAAAACCCGGGCACAAAGGCTATTGGGATTCTGAAGCATAGCACCATTAAAGGCTTCTAGGTCACGAAAGCCTAGCCCTCCTTTAGGTTTAGAGACAATTATCTTCTTCCCGACCATCAGTGCATACCCCTCTTATCAAGTGATCTTGTCCACTGGTACTTGGACATATTTGTCATTAATTTCTTGCACAACCCTTTAGTGGGTTTGAAACCACCCGTAGAATAGGTTGGTACAGCTTAAATAAACTAACTTGAGAAGAACCTCCTTTGCCGCAGAAGATAACTTTTCCTCACACCACCCTTGCATCTTCCCACGCGACCTTTCACTTATATGCTAAAATTTATTGCTCTATAATTCTTCCTGCCGCCATTGGAGACCAAGGTATTTCTCCGTGAGATCCTCTCAGTGGATATTCAAAGCCATCTTCACCTCCGTCCTCGGGGATGCCCCAAAGAACACCAGAATCCTATGCTTGCTTGCACTTTGGCCAGAACCAAGCAATAATTTCCTAAGATCTCATTCGGACGAGAAACACTCCAAGCATCTACTTTCATGCACACTAAATAATAATTATGAAATAACAAATGGGAAATCCAAAGAGCACTAGTATGACCTAAATGACCATATCAATCCAACCACCATCATAATTGTAACATGCATGATAGTCCTTCACCGCACAATACGAATAAGTAGGAGAGCTAGCATCCCCTACCTTACACACCTCGATGGGTGAAAGTTCAACAAAAATTCCCCCATTGACCTTCACTTGAAAGTTCACTCACAAAACACACCGCATGACAAGTGAAATCCACACTTCATAAAACCAAGTTGATAGAGGCACGAGCGTCCCGATCTTTTAGAGAGATGATAATTATCGATTTGGTCGAGTTGACTTTACGATCCGACTACAAGCATGCATGACGTTGCGCCTCAGCAATTACTAAACCAACTCCTGGAGGTTACTGATGATGCCAGAAGGTCTATTCCCGTAGTCAATCAAATAACGAGCAAGAATATGGTAAACACAATCTAAATATTGCGAATATAGATGAAGTGTTGATAAAAGTGGGGTTCCGATAGCGGCCTTGGTCTGGTTGTTGGACACAACCGAAGTACGTGAAGTTGCAGCAATGACTAACTTTTAACTAATCAAAACCCAAGTCTAAATGACGCCTTAAGGGTTGTATTTATAGGGGAAAGAGAGGGGATTCGTCCACCCTTGGCAAGATGGGACTAAAACACCTCCTGAATCGTTTCCCCTACAATACAGACTCTAAAAGTAGCCTACGAAAAGGTTTTTCGAAATTACACGAGTCTGACCCAAATGTAAGATGATGCAACACCTATAATAAGGTATGGACGAAATTCTATGAAAGGTCATCTTGTATGTTTCGTCCACGTCCTTGTATGTCATCAGGGTGGCTCCAAAATACTGAAAACTCCGTTTTTTCCTTCGCGCACGCCTTCATTTCCACGCTTGATCAAAAACTCCAATGTTCATCCTTCTTGTCCATGTTAGACCCTTCAATCCTAAGCAAAGCAAATTTATCCAATTTAGACACCGTTATATTCTCATGAACATTAGAATCATTACCAAGAAACAAAAGTACCTGATAATTTAATTGACGTGCGCGATCTCCACTATTGTTTAATATGTGTAGCAGCAGGGGCTGTGGGTGTAACTATGATAGTGATGTCCTCATCATAAGTTGTTGCATAATAGCATGCAGATAAACCCATTGAGTCCGATTGTAAACCTTCATCATATCAAGTTTGGTAATTCACCATCCTTGTTTCTCTTTATTTTGCCTCATAGAATAAATACATTCATAAGATGTGAGCATATTATCAACTATTTTAAAAAATGCTCACCATGTACTCGAAAATGTTCAACATGTATTAAAAAAAAGTACGACATGTATTTGAAAAAATGTTAAAGGTGTATCTAAAAAATGGTACACCAATATTAAAAAACATTTAATGTTTATTAAAAAATGTTTGTGACATTTTCGAAAAATGTTAATGCACTTTTAAAATATGTTTGTGGCATTTTTTAAAATGGTTATACAATATACATGAATGTTCTTGTCATCTTGTAAAAATGTTTCATACCGTTTAAAAGCCACATAGAAACCGATAAATAAACACATAGAAATTGAAACAAAAAGAAGAAGAAAAACCACGCAAAAGGTTTGAAAACCAGTCCACATAACCTTTTCAGAATAGCTCCAAGGATGTTGGGCCAGCGTGTTTAGCAGAACAGTAAGACGTAGCGGGGCTATGTCTCGTAAAAAGTGAGATATGCTACACGAATCCCTTAAATCGTAAGTTTTTTTTTTGAAATTTTTGGATTGCTTACCACATATGTCACGTGATCTTAAATTACTAATTAAGGGGTAGTTTTTTGCAAAGGTCACTCCCAGATTTGTTGGTGGTGACCATTGTCAGTGTATTACTTGTCACAACCTGCGAGTTTTGTGCTTTCTTCCGTACTCATTTTTAAAACATTTTATCTCTTTTCACCATGAGTTCAAATCATAAACCTTTTTCACCATTGCGTTTCTCGCGTCAAGATTTTCGCAACTAGATATCATGTTTTTTTTTGGGAGCAACTAGATACCATGTTAATAGATTTAGGCTTTTTTCTTTCAAAAATCCGGAAAAAGCAAAAACGAAAACAAATCATAACCGGTAAATCACAAAAACCCAGAAACGGGAAGCCTCACGGTGCACATTTATGCTTCTCAGTAAGCACAATTTGTGCTTCACGCGGAAGCACGACTCACGGAAAAGAAATCATTTTTGCCCTGAAAAAAATACCCCCAAAAATCTCAAAAATACGTGCAGAAAAAGAAACTGTGCTTCCGCGGATGCCTCGCATAGTCGCATCTTCCGGAGCTTTCATTCCTCCTCCCGATACGAATCGCCGGCCCAGCGCGAACCGATCCAGACGCGAATTGGTGAGAAGCCGAGGAAAAGAAAAATCCTTTCTCCTCCCTCCCTCCCGCAGCTGCGAATCTCCTCCGGCGCGGCCTCCTTCCTCGGATCGATCGCATCTACTGCGAACGACCAGCCATGGTAAAGCGCCCCTTCCCTCCCCCCTCCCCCGACCGATTCTTTCGATGTTCACGCTGCGCACCTACGTGAGTTCGCCTTGTCGTTGCTGGTAATTAAGATCGATAGATAGTTTGTTGGCGCCAATTGGGGCCGAGGTCTCCAGGACTCAGGAAGGGCAGGTTGTTAGTGGGCCTGTCTAGTAGGATTGGTGGGTCTGTTTATCTGACGCAGACGACGCTGGAACCACTAGATTCACATGAGAAATGGATTGCTGGATAGGGGTTTCAGGGAGTAGTATGCAGTCTCACGGGATCTATCTTTACAACCAGTCAACCACGGATGACCACCGTTTTACATTACCATGGGCGTGGACAGATTTTGCATGGGGCAACATATCCCATACACCCACCCTTCGTGGTGTACTTATGAACTAATCCTTCGATTTGGGCATCAAGGAGGGTACTAACCAATCTCATTGGATGCTTTGGATTTTTTTTCTTCCAAAAGGGAGGTTAAACCTTGGCCTTTGCATCATACGATGCACACAGCCATCTCTACTGAAACAATGTATCGGATATCCACAGTTGTACAAGGAGATATAGCAAGGCCCAAACACAACCGGTCCATAACGAGATTACATCACTCTATGCATAACCTATTACTGGACCTCAATCCAAACCAGTTGAACGCATCCCATGCTAATATCTCTCAACATTTGCACCCAAAAGCCATAGGCGCCTAATTTTCTGCATGTTGGAGGAGACATATGCATGTTGGAGAGAGCACCACATATGGATTCATCTTGTAGCTCGGAAGATAACCTGCAAATATTTTGGAAGTTTTGCTCTGTTAAATACACAAATCATTACACAGTCCCAAATTGCCCATAATAAGGCACACACTCCCACATGGATTTGTGCCTTAAATTTTGGATGAATACTGGCCAACTAGTCTCCGAACAAATTCGGTATGCTAGTAGGCACAGACAGATCAGAATACTTTGTATGGAAACCGCAAATGTGTGTAGGCACATGTTTTCAGAATATATATGTGCCATAATATCTAGGAAGGTATTAAGAGTTCCAATCTTCTAAGGTTTTGGTATGATAAAATTCTCATTTTGAATCCAAGCAACTATTATGAGAAACTGCCGTTTTTGTTTACTTTCTATGATTGGCATTGTTCCGAATATCGGCCAGTTAATCGGCATGTAGGTCAGTTAATCACTACTCGGTGGGTCACAGAATATCCAATTAACTGATTTATCGGCCAATTAATTGGAAAATTCACGTATTTATCCCTGCTCGGGACCCGACTGATATGGTACCAGTTACCGATCTCCTGAACATTGATTAGAACTTCATTTTCTTCTCTTTTCATGATGTTGGCACGCTTGTCCGAGCTGGTTTCCCAGTTATCGTTGTACAGTTCCTTGGAGAGTCTACCCAACGATGTTATGATCAGGGGCGGAGCTATGTTGGGGCCAAACTGGGCCTTGGCCTGCCCAGCACAGCCGAAAATAGGGAAGGATGATAGAGAAACTTGGCTAGGAAAACAAGTGATGTGTGTAATTTTTTATCCTGGCCTGCCCAACATTCAGCCTGAAGCTCCGCCATTGGTTATGATGATGTCATCACTCACATCCTCGTAGGCTGCAAAGCAACTGCCAACATATCTTCTTTCTCACCACACATTTTGATTTTGCTAACGGTTCAAATGTGTCGAGGTCAACAATTTCTCAGAGATGCGTTATCTTGCCACATCACACCAGATCCATGACTCTTCAACGTTGATGACATCTTGAACCCCTCTTAACACTACTTCATCTTCCAATCTGCGATCATTTTGCATTGAGTTCAGCCTATTAGTTCCTATTGTTGTTAATTTGTGCCATACTTGCACGGTTGCACCGTAGTCCCCTGAATCTATGTGACCAACCAGTATATCTTACCCTCATATTCTCTACTGTTGTAACTTGTAAGGAGTGCTTGCTTTTTATTTAGAGTGTAGATTTTTCGTATCATAGTAATAACAAGGTTGCCTGTACTTTTCACCATCGAATAGTACTGTGTATCAGTTTTCTCACGAATAGTATTTCTGAAACTAAAACCAATAAGAGATGACTGAGCAACTGTACCCCTGAACACAGTTATAATCTGGATGCACCGAAATAATTATGCAGTGCAGATCTTTCTCATTTTACTCCGACTGATGGGATAATTTATGGCATCTTAGAGCGAATGTGATGGTCCTTTTAACTCGTGTTAATAGTATGGTACTCATTTGTATGAACTCAATATAGGTCATGCATATTTGCTCCGAAAAGGTTTGCACGGCAGATGTATTCTTGGTTCTTTGATTCGGCAATTGTAGCAACTTCGAATTAATTACCAAGTGTGTGGTGCTGGCATAGTTACACCTCAGTTTCTGCGCTTGTTTATCTGATTGAATTTTGGGCCTATAGTGCAGTATCATATTCACCGAAACTTGATTTCACCACGGGCATATTGTTGATTTACTGTTGGGTAGATTCTGGATCTCTATGATCTGACACTCAGGCATATTGTCCAAATGCATGAGACACTCATTTACATGTAGTTTCTTCTTGTAATTTCAGGCCGGGAAGCTAATTGCAAACCTTATTGTCATGGGCTCTGGGATTATAGGAAGAGCTATGCTTCAGGCATACCGAAAAGCACTTGAAAGTAAGTTCCTTCCTTATGATCTTTGTTCAAACCCAGACCTAAAGATGTCTTGACCTCCTTGTCCTGGACATAAAAGGATGGGAGCTTGATGGAAAACTACAGAATTTTGTAGTCAGTGGTCACTAATCTGGAATAACTTTGCTGAAAACGAGTGAAATGAGATGGCAATTTTGTGTTGTGCTTGTAACTTGTCAGGTTCATAAAATAAAATATTTGTCGTAACAATCTTATTTAGTTTCAGTTATCTTGTTTTAGCATTTCTGAAGTATGATAGAAATGTTGGCATTCGGGTTGCAGCTTTTGGTGTGTTATAGCTTATCCTAGCTTTTCATCCTTTTGACGTAGTATTACTACTTCTGTTCGTTTATAGATGATTGCATTGGGGATGCAGCTTTTGGTGGATTACCACTACAAAATATTTGTATATGTGGGTTTCTAGCTTAGAGAACGAGAAGTTTAGCCTTATAAAAACAAGTTTAAACATTCAGGGCTTATATTGAACTTAGGTTATCTGCAGACTGCATATAAATTAAAATAGTAGGCTTGTTATGCTATCGAACTCATGGGGTACATAAATTTGGCAAAGAAAAGTATATTCTCTGTTTTACCAAAAAGAACGGGATTATCTTGATAGTTTTTTATTGCCTAGTGTTCACATGCAATACACAAAACCTCTGATTTACAACAAAAAAAACCCCGATTATAAGTCTGCTTAGAATTTACTCAAAACAGACCTAAGATTCATTTAGAGTAAAAAATTATACGTAAGATGTCATGTGTTTATCAGTGTATCATAATAACAGTATAGATATTTCACAATAAAAGACATTACAGGTAGGTGCTTTCAGCCTCTGTCTTTTGAACATAATATATATCCTGCTATAATGAGTCTGTACAAGATGGTTATTACCTGCCAAACTCTCTTCTGTGACTATTTATCCCTAAAGGGTTAGGAAATTTATTATACATATGCACCTCCTTATTGTTATTTTTTTTAGATCACCTCTTTACATAGATTGCTCCATTATTCTGCTAGATGCAAATAAAACTGGTGTGGCCCATGAAGCAATCAACAATATCCGTAGGGCCAGCAAGACAATGACCGAGCAAGAAGCGAGGCAGATATTGGGTGTGACTGAGCAGTCGACATGGGAAGAGATTGCACAGGTCTTCTCTTATCTTCACTTGGCTCCTCGCTATTCGTATGTGCAGTGCTGACTACAACCTCTTATCAACCATGTTGAATGCAGCGGTATGACAAGCTATTCGAGAGAAATGCGACATCTGGGAGCTTTTACCTCCAATCCAAGGTTCACCGGGCCAAGGAGTGCCTAGAAAATGTGTACCAAAAGAACAAGCAAGATGGAACTCGGACCTGAAATTCGCATCTTTAGAATCCACTGCCTAGATACTGTTACTATACTCCCTTTGTATCAAAAAAAAAAAACGTCTTATATTTTGATACAGAGGGAGTATATTCTTTCCTCCCTCTTGAGAATGTACATACCAACAATGGTTGCTTCTGTTGTATCATCAATAAAAATTGAGCGCAGCGACGGTGAGCTCTTTAGAGAACTAATTGTAAGCCATCACTGAATTCTTGTATGGCATTCAGTATGAAATTTTGTTGTTTTCATTTGATGATTCCATGAGCCGTAGCAGCCGTGCTCTTGCACTATTGGTCCATTCAGTAACATCTTATCTATGCGAGACTGGAACCATTTCTTCTCATCGTTGGAATATTTTTCCGTCAGGGGCCTGGAATGCAAATTCGTTTTGAAGACTGCAATATGTGTTGTCTGTTGTGCCGATGGTCTGGTGTTCGGCCTTCGGGTTAGGCTGCCGAACAGAGCATATTGTGCACAGTTTTGGTCAATCAGCTTCAGAATTCTGCACAACAGCAAACCAGTCAGGAGGCACTGTCTCTCGCTGATCCAAGATTTGGACGTGCCAATGGCCTGGAATTTTAAACGTGTTGAGCAGCTTGAGCTCGTGTAGTTCTGTACTAATAAGAGTTGAGGTGAGCAATCCGAACGATGAGCAAATGGACGGTGGATGCTTTGAATGGGCATGACATATTTTCTATCGGCAACGTGTTTGTTTTGCAAAAATCAGGTCTATTACAAAGATTCCGATACAAAGCACCTCAAATATAATAAAAATGACATCAAAGATCAAGTCTATTAGAAAGATTCTGATAGAAAGCACCTCAAACATAATAAAATGACATCGAGGTTTATGGACCATCAAACGACCATTAACGCCACCAAAATAAACCGCCGACACGCCACTGTCATTGCCCCAATGGATGTTCACGGAGAGCTGACCAATACAACAATGCCGGCATCCATGGACAAAATTTGGAAAATTAGTTTTTTTTCATCGGACTTGCTTTTTCTGGGACGCTAAAATCTGGGCCACTGATCCACCATCCTCGTCCAGTAGTATTTTGCAAAAGGCGGTTGCTAGGCATTAGGCGGCCCATATAGAAAGATCAGCCGGCTGGCTAGCCGCCCAATCACAGCTCACAACTGTCCGATTAGTCGTGTGTCATCTCGTCCTTCCTCATACACATGTGATGGGGAATGTTGGATGGAAAACAAAAATAAAAATCCTACGAAACGCTCAAGATCTATTTTATGGAGATGCTAGCAACGAGAGGAGGAGTGTCTACATATCCTTGTAGACCAAAAGCATTAACGATCTAGAAATCGTGGTTGATACGGTCGTACTCCCTTCGCGATCCAATCCTATCCGGTGCCGAACGGACGGTACTTCTAAGATGTGCACACGGCTCGATGACGTATCCGCCTTCTTGATCCAGCAAGGGAGGGTGGAGAGGTAGATAGGATCTAGGCCAGCACCATGATGTGGTGGTGGTGGTGGAAGCGTAACTACAGCAGGGCTTCGCCAAGCGCTACGCGAAGGAGATGGGAGAGGTAACGGCCAGGCAAACGGGTGAGCCTCCCCCTTGCGCCCCCACCTTATATAGGGGTGTGGGAGGGGGCGGATGTGAAGGAAATATGCCCTAGATGCAATAATAAAGTTATTTATATTTCCTTATATCATGATAAATATTTATTATTTATGCTAGAATTGTATTAACCGGAAACTTAGTACATGTGTGAATACATAGACAAACAGAATGTCACTAGTATGCATCTACTTGACTAGCTCGTTGAATCAATGATGGTTATGTTTCCTAACCATAGACATGAGTTGTCATTTGATTAATGAGATCACATCATTAGAGAATGATGTGATTGACTTGACCCATCCATTAGCTTAGCACGATGATCGTTTAGTTTGTTGCTATTGCTTTCTCCATAACTTATACATGTTCCGATGACTATGAGATCATGCAACTCCCGAATACCGGAGGAACACTTTGTGTGCTACCAAACGTCACAATGTAACTGGGTGATTATAAAGGTGCTCTACAGGTGTCTCTGATGGTGTTTGTTGAGTTGGCATAGATCGAGATTAGGATTTGTCACTCCGATTGTCGGGGAGGTATCTCTGGGCCCTCTCGGTAATGTACATCACTATAAGCCTTGCAAGCAATGTAGCTAATGAGTTAGTTACGGGATGTAGCATTACGGAACGAGTAAAGAGACTTGTCGGTAACGAGATTGAACTAGGTATTGAGATACCGACGATCAAATCTCGGGCAAGTAACATACTGATGACAAAGGGAACAACGTATATCGTTATGCGGTTTGACCGATAAAGATCTTCGTAGAATATGTAGGTACCAATATGAGCATCCAGGTTCCGCTATTGGTTATTGACCGGAGATGTGTCTCGGTCATGTCTACATAGTTCTCGAACTCGTAGGGTCCGCACACTTAACGTTCGGTGATGATCGTATTATGAGTTTATGTGTTTTGATGTACCAAAGGTAGTTCGGAGTCCCGGATATAATCACGGACATGACGAGGAGTCTCGAAATGGTCGAGACATAAAGATCGATATATTGGACGACTATATTTGGACATCAAAATGGTTCCGGGTGAGATCGGGCATTTACCGATGTACCAGGAGGTTATCGGAACCCCCCGGTAGGTATATGGGCCTTATTGGGCCATAGTGGGAGAGAGGAGAAGGGAGCAAAGGAGGGGGCGCCCCCCAAGCCCAATCCGAATTGGTAGGGGGGTCGGTCCCCTTTCCTTCCTCCTTCCTCCCCCTTCCTTCTTTCCTAATCCAACTAGGGAAGGGGGGGGGGAAATCCTACTCCTGGTGGGAGTAGGACCCCCCTTGGGGCGCGCCTAGGAGGCCGGCCCCCTCCCCCTCCTCCACTCCTTTATATATGGGGAGGGGGGCACCTCATAGACTCACAAGTTGATCATTGATCTCTTAGCCGTGTGCGGTGCCCCCTCCACCATAATCCACCTTGGTCATATCGTAGCGGTGCTTTGGAGAAGCCCTGTTCCGGTAGCATCATCATCACCGTCATCACGCCGTCATGCTGACGAAGCTCTCCCTCAACACTCTACTAGATTGTGAGTCCGTGGGACGTCACCGAGCCGAATGTGTGCAGATTGCAGAGGTGTCGTACCTTCGGTGCTAGGATCGGTCGATCGTGAAGACGTACGACTACATCAACCGTGTTGTCATAACGCTTCCGCTTATGGTCTGCGAGGACAACACTCTTCCCTCTCGTTGCTATGCATCACCATGATCTTGCGTGTGCGTAGGATTTTTTTTGAAACTACTACGTTCCCCAACAGTGGCATCCGAGCCAGGTTTATACATAGATGTTATATGCACAAATAGAACACAAAGGAGTTGTGGGCGTGGGTATATACATATTGCTTGCCGTCACTAGTTGATTCTTGATTCAACGACATTGTTGGATGAAGCGTCCCAGACCGACATTACGCGTACGCTTACGCGAGATTAGTTCTACCGACGTGCTTCGCACACAGATGGCTAGTGGGTGTCTGTTTCTCCAGCTTTAGTTGAATCGGATTCAATGAACAGGGTTCTTTCTGAAGATCAAAAAGCAATCACTATACCGCGTTGTGGTTTTTGATGCGTAGGTAAGAACGGTTCTTGCTCAGCCCGTAGCAGCCACGTAAAACGTGCAACAACAAAGTAGATGACGTCTAACTTATTTTTGCAGAGCATGTTGTGATGTGATATGGTCAAGACATGATGCTAAATTTTATTGTATAAGATGATCATGTTTTGTAACACAGTTATTGGCAACTGGCAGGAGCCATATGATTGTCGCTTTATTGTATGAAATGTAATCACCATGTAATTGCTTTACTTTATCACTAAGCGGTAGCGATAGTCGTAGAAGCAAAAGTTGGCGAGACGACAATGATGATTCGATGGAGATCAAGGTGTCAAGCCGGTAACGATGGTGATCATGATGGTGCTTTGGAGATGGAGATCAAAGGCATAATATGATGATGGCCATATCATATCACTTATATTGATTGCATGTGATGTTTATCCTTTATGCATCTTATTTTGCTTAGTTCGACGGTAGCATTATAAGACGATCTCTCACTAAATTTCAAGGTATAAGTGTTCTCCCTGAGTATGCACCGTTGCTACAGTTCGTCGTGCTGAGACACCACGTGATAATCGGGTGTGATAAGCGCTACGTTCACACACAACGGGTGCAAGCCAGTTTTGCACACGCAGAATACTCGGGTTAAACTTGACGAGCCTAGCATATGCAGATATGGCCTCGGAACACTAAGACCGAAAGGTCGAGCGTGAATCATATAGTAGATATGATCAACATAGTGATGTTCACCATTGAAAGCTACTCCATCTCACGTGATGACCGGACATGGTTTAGTTGATATGGATCACATGATCACTTAGATGATTAGAGGGATGTCTATCTAAGTGGGAGTTCTTAAGTAATATGATTAATTGAACTTAAATTTATCATGAACTTAGTCCTGATAGTATTTGCATATCTATGTTGTAGATCAATTGCTCGCGTATAGCTTCCCCGTTTTATTTATGATATGTTCCTAGAGAAAACTATGTTGAAAGATGTTAGTAGCAATGATGCGGACTAGCTCCACGATCTAAGGATTATCCTCATTGCTGCACAGAAGAATTATGTCCTTGATGCACCGCTAGGTGATGGACCTTTTGCAGGAGCAGATGTAGACGTTATGAACGTTTGACAAGCTCGGTATGATGACTACTTGATAGTTTAGTGCGCCATTCTTTACGGATTAGAACCGGGAATTCAAAAACATTTTGAACGCCACGGAGCATATGAGATGTTCCAAGAGCTGAAATTGGTATTTCAGACTCATGCCCGTGTTAAGAGGTATGAGACCTTTGACAAGTACTTTGCCTACAAGATGGAGGAGAATAGCTCAGCTAGTGAGCATGTGCTCAG